GCCTATTTAAAAGCATCTTTTTTCCTTTTTTTTTTTTTTTGAAATTTTAGGATTGTTTCACCTAGTTTATCAAGGAAGCGGGCTTGAGACAAACCAGGCTAAACTGGGCTACCCAGCTCATTACTAACTTTTTATACTCATTTGGTAATATTATAAGAATGGAGATCAAGGCTGAGTTTACTTGCTTGGGATTCGAAACTCGAATTTTGGACCGCAGCTGGACCAGTATGGATCCAAGACTTGAATCCGATGGATTGTTATCCAAATCCAAAATTTGGAGCCAGTTGTGTTTCGAATTGGATCAGGTAAAGGTAGATTTAATCCGAATTTGATTCAATTTTATATATATATATATATAATATTTTTTGTTTGATATTCTATTATATAAAATATTTTTTAGATTTGATCGGGTGTTGATTCGAATCATGATCCCATGCAAACTCTTTGAATCCGAATCTGATGTGGAATCCGAATCTGATGTGGAAATCCTAAATCCAATCAGGTGTGGATCCAAATGCTGATCCTATATTGACCTTTTGGATGTATATCCGTATCCTGGTGAATCCGGACCTGAATCAACCCATTCTCCGTCCTAAAGGGATGGTATCGCACGCAGTCCAATCTAAAACTTACTTTCGGATTGACAAACTTTCAAATCCACAACAAAGGTCGATAGAACCAATCCGCCATTCATGCTCATTATGTGACGGTGGAAATTACCTTCTGATCTACGATCAGGCTTAAAATTGATTCCAGTGTCTCAGCCAATATCTAAGCCCACAATCTCTCTCTAAGCGCCATCCCCTCTCTCTCTAGAGTGTAAATATCCCTGTTCAAAAAAGTCCCCCCTTCCTCCCCCTCTCTCTCTCTCTCTGTCTCCTTTTTATCGTTGTGTTCTTTAGAATCTTTGCCAGTTCAGGATGAAACTGAAGCAATTAGAAATCCTTCTCGGAAATCTGAAGCAGTTCACCAATCCAAAGGTATTTTCTCATGAATTTTACTCCATTTATTGCAAATTGAAAACAATGGTGTTTTAGTGGAATTTGGGTTTTCACCGAAGTTTCGTTGCCGGCTTCACTCACTTCCGCGTGATATATGTTAACTTAGTTGAGTGAGTGAGAGAGTGAGAGTTGGTAAGACTGTCGATCGAGAGAGAAAGACAGATCTGTCATTCTTCAGAAAGTTATAAAATTATCATTCTTCAGAAGTGATAAAGTTGTCATTTTTAGAGAGAGAGATAGCTATCGTCATTTTTCAGAAAGTGATAAAGCTTTGTCATTTTTAGAGAGAGTTTTTTCATATTTTGATTTTAGAGAGAGAGAGAGAGAGAGAGATTTGATTTTTATATGAAAAAAATTGTTCTCGTGTTCTGATTACCATGTTTAGTTCTTTTGTTAAATTTATAACTATGATCAAATTGATGATGCTAAGTATTTGTATCCAACTCAAATGAAGCAACATAAATCTCCATGGTGAAGTTCCAAAAAAATAGGGAGTAACACTCCAAATATTGGCTCAATCGTTTGTTATGCTGATTACTAGCTCCGGACTTCTTAAATCCCTTATGATTCTCTTCTTATGGTAAACTTTGCTGTTTATTTTCCTGTGTTATTCTCTTTCTAGAGTGATCTTTAATGCCTTCATGATAAGTTAGATTGACTAGAAAAAAAAAAAGTAAATAAAGATGTAGTTTTGTTATGATTTTGCATATTTTCCCAATTCACTGATATAATCTCAGCCAGTAATGTATAACTTGGTGGAATCTAACTCACCTGAGTTACTCAGACCTGATTCCGGAACAAAAACATTGGGAATCTGCTGAATCTCTCTAGTTCCCGAGGCTTCATTGTTAAACTTTTTTAAGTCTAGGCTAGGCCTCTGACAGACTCGGGCTGAGTTTGGTCACCTGACTTGCGCTAGGGACTGTAGCGAGTCCCGGCCTGAGTCCTTGTCTTAAGCGATGGATCTAATCTCTGAATTGACCATCTTGGATGTGTTAGTTGTTTTATTATTCGCTATTGAATTTTCAATAAAACATCTATTAACACTGAATAACTCGTGCTTTAGGTGGATCTCGAACAATATCCTACTGGATCCCATATTGCATCCAGGTTGTTATATATGGTGAGTTGAGTTTATTACACACACAAAATATGCCATTTTGCAGTGGATTTTTTCTGTTTGATCTGCTTTGGTTTTGATTCGTGTTTTTGGTATTCTTCTTGTTTTGCCATTTTCAATAAAAATCAGTTTTTTTTCTGATTTGATTGATTTGCTATTCTTGGTGGAGTAAAAGAGAAAAATGATTGATAAGAAAAATAAGCATTTAAAGTCAAAAGTTTTTTGTGAGCTCAATGTGATAGCCAAAAGTTTCTGCCTTTGTTCATTATAACTTATAGAATGGCAAATGAGGGCTTTTATCAAGGATTTGAGGTTTGAACAATCAAGATGCTTACAATGAAATTCATATTGTTAGCAAAACAATGTGTAGCCATGATCAGTAAAAGGAAATGTATATCATGGAATGCTTGAGTTTTGGTTTATTATGTTCTTTCATGTACTTTTTCTTCTTTTTTTATGTTTTATTTTATTTGTTTTATAATTGTCTTCCCATCTACTTTTTTTAGGCTGAGAACACATATGGGGATATATCTGGCAAAGTGGTTGCAGACTTTGGCTGTGGTTGTGGTACATTAGGCATAGCCAGTGCTTTATTGGATGCGGAGTAAGTCTTGTCTTACTATTTTGGTTCACTCCTTTGGTTCTTTTGTATTTTGGTTAATTATGTCTGTTACAATCATTGTCATTTGAACTCCTTGACAAGCTTTGGTTTTCACTCTTTTTGTTCATCGCCAAGACAGTTCTTTATGCTGTTTTCTTGAGATTATTTTGGCAGTTCGGCCTGACCCAAGGTTTCTATGTTGTGTAACAGGTATGTAATAGGCATAGATGTTGACTCTCAATCCCTTGAGACTGCTTTATCAAATGCCGAGGAATTTGAGGTATTCCTCTTTTTCCATTAGTTAAGTCAGCAATAAAGACCAAAGAATCCTCATAATTGTACGATAACCTACTAGATAGTAGGTACCACTCGCTGATCTTTAGTCATTTAGTCGTTTTGTCAAGCAAGGCTGGTCTAAGACTTAGTAGTCATGGAAATGATGCCTCTAAGGTTCGATGCTAGCAGCTTGAGCTGAAAGCCACCATAGTGGTTAGATTAGTTTGTAATTTTATTCATGTAACACTTCTCATGATATCTAAATTTTTTAGCTCAGCATAGTAGTTAGAGTAATATGGAAATTTATTTCTTTAATACTTCTAATGATAGCTGAATCTTCTTGGATCCTTAAATCAATCTACTGTCTCCAAGCATTTGGGGAAGTGTCTAGTTATACAGATTACATTCAGTTGAAACAGAAAAGCAGTAACATTGAATGCTGGTTCTTAAGAAGTTTTTCATGGATACTCTCCTGTCATGATAGGTCCTTCACTATACATGAGTTAAAATTGAAGAAAGTATCCAACGAAAGACCCTATTCTATGTTCTGAAACAGGTATGTAATAGGAATAGTGTTGACCTTCAATCACTTGAGAACGCTTTATCAAGAATTTGAGGTATTCCTTTTTTTTCATTAGTTAAGTACAGCAATAGACACCAATAAACCCCAGAACTGTAAGATAACCAACTAGATAATGGCTACCACTTGCTGATCTCTAGGCAGTAAGTCACTCTGTTACCAAGGCAGGCCTGAGACCTTGACTTACTAGCAATTATATTTGAGGCCAAAAATTAATTGACTGCAACTGCATTTTTTTACTTCTCGTCAATACTCATGATAAGCAACACAATCCAAGCCCCCATATGCAGGATGCTTTAATACTGCTTTGCTTCTGTTATTTAACAACCTCTTATGTGATCAGCAAATCCACATTAATGGGTTCAGAACTTTTAATCACATGTTTCTTCTAGTAAGAAGTTATGATAGTTGTATATAATAGATTAATATGCTATTATTTGCTATGCATTTACAAGGGCAGTTGGACATGGATCTGGTACAGTGCGACATCAGTAGTTTATCATGGAAAGGTGAGACTTGCAACCTTTTTTTATCAAATTACTGTCAATGATGTCAGAATTTTAGTTCAATAGTGATTGTTCATGAGGTATTTGTTGCCTGTTGTCAGGCATCTTAATAGTTTCAGGAGAGGGAAATACTTTATCCTGGTTGATATCAAGGTTTTTCTTGATCCCATACAGTATTTTTGTACCAATTTACATCTTACAAGAGAACTATCACAAAATAATACAATGAAAAGTGTCCTGTTCGCCTGACAGTCCTCAATGTTCCTTTGCTAATCATTTGAGTCTGTAGTTGGCAATTAATGCACTCACTACATAGTCATACATTTTTCAGTTGACTTTTTATATTTTCTTTTGTTTTTTGAAGTACACTTATATATGACCTTCTGTGAAGTAATAGCCTTGTTCTCACATTTTCTAATTCCTTTTTGAAGTTCTTATTCATGCAATTTTTCCAACACAGGTGCAAAGGTTGACACTGTTGTAATGAATCCTCCCTTTGGTACACGGAGAAAAGGTTCTGACATGGATTTTCTTTCGGCTGCTTTGAAGGTGAGGGCCGTGTTTTATTTGAGCCTTCACTTTGCGATTCTATATGCGCATCTTATTTGTATAACGGTCAGGTGATACCTTTTCAGGTGGCAAGTGTTGCAGTCTATTCATTGCATAAAACAACTACTCGAGATGTAAGTCATTTTCCCGTAGGCTTTGGTTATATCCCTTTGATGGATGAGAGATGTTGCACCTTGCATGAAGTAACAGTGCATGGCATGATACTTCAAGAAAAAAAAAATTTTATTGAGAGTAAAGAACAAGATATTTGAAGGATTCCTTCTAGGAATGTAGACTACAGATTATCTTCTACAATTTTTAGATGCTATCAAGCTGTATACATTTGGTTTTACCATTTTGGAAGAACAAAAAATTTTGCAGCATGCAGATCTTGTCTGGTTATGACTGTGTATTCCAGATAAAATGTTTCTAAAAATAGTATATGTTTGTTCCTTGAATGAATAGCATGTGAAGAGAACAGCCCTGAGAGAGTTTGCTGCTGAAAGGGCGGAGGTTTTATGCGAGGTTAGTTAAAAGATAGACTGACATATTGATTAGTCTTGTTGAGAGAGAGAGAGACTGCCCCTATTTTGTGGGTCATTTAGGATCCCTTGCTGTTCAGCTATTTATCCAATTAATAGATCATTAAACTTATTCTTATTTTGCAACTACCCTGTCTTCTGACATGAGCTGCTTTATTTCACAGTTAAGGTTCGATGTGCCTCGAATGTACAAATTCCACAAGAAAAAGGAAGTTGATATAGCGGTGGATCTCTGGCGATTTGTGCCTGATTCCTCGAGAAAACTTGTTTAATATTTTCTTAGCATGATGATCACAGTTTCAGCCAAATGCATGCATGGGAAAAGAAAAAAATAGCAAATCCTGATTCTTCCGTGAGGTAGCTAAGAGGAAATCCCTTAAACTTCCAAAATCTTTCAAATATCATTTGTCTAGTGAGCAGAATTTCTTTGGTGAGATGTAGTGTAAGAAAAGGACCAATAGTTTGATACAAATTTTATCGGTATTCATCTCTCTCTCTCTCTCTCTCTCTCTCTCTCTCTGTCATGAGGTAGCCAAGAAAGTCCCTGTAATTTCCAAAATGTTTCAAATATCCATTTGTCCAGTGACCAGATTTTCTTTGGTGAGATATAGTGCAAGAAAAAAAACCAGTAAGTTGTACGATTTTCATGTGTATTCATATGATCTCTCTCACTTTTATGGCTCTAGTCACTTGAGAGAATCAAGATCTCTCCCAAGTTGTGCCTAGGCTAGCCAAGACAGAATTTGTAGTTTTTCACTTATCAAATAGTTAAACTATTATAGAGTATGCATATCTTTTCCTTTCACTGGGCCAGCTTTCTGTGTCCGCACCCAAATTAATTTGTTTTGAGATATAGACATATATATTCTTGATCTCACAGTTGGAACGAGCTGACAAAAGAGTCATGATATCTCAAAAAATGAGTTGGCAATAACTTGTAATATTATTATTAGCTTACTCTCCACCATCGGATCTTAGATGGCTAAATGTCTCCAAATACATAATTACATGTGTTGGGACAGAGAGAGGTTGCTCTTTCCGCCCTCAGAGACGTACGTTATCGCATGATTCTAAAAGGTGTGGTTTGTATAAAGCTGAGGCTCTAAGCATTCAATCTAAAGTGTACCTTCAAATAGTGTCGAGAAATGTGGTTTCAATTCTGAAAATCTTTATGATAGCTTTAAAATATATTTTCGTCTTCAAATATAGAATTTAGAGCTACAAAAATTATGTTGATTGAGCAAATCTATGAAAACTTGAAAATTGTGAAAATTGACAATCAAAAAATGTATTACAAGATGCACTATTTTCAAAACTTGAAATCCATTTTTTTTCATGTTTATGCATCTTGATTTCGAGATGATCAATTTGAACATGTTTGAGTATCAAAACAATCTCTTTTAATAAATTCTTTGAGGTGGGCTCTAATTTGATTGTTTAGAGCCTCGGCTCTGTATGAACTTTTTCCGATTCTAAATACACAAACTAGATATGCATGTTGATTATGTAAATAAGTTTCTTTTTTTGGCATTTTTGAAAACTGTTAAAATTTTGCATCTTTGTTTTAGTTATGAAAAGTATATAATGTGACTATTTATTTTTTATACAAGATGGTGACAATTAATATTGTGATGTACTCAAATTATATGATTTCACATCGAATCGGATGGTTGTAAGTAATTGTCACTTTCCATTACCAAAAAGCAAAAAGTCTCATTGTAGTTATTTTGTTATGCGCTTGGAGAGAGAAAGGGGTTCATTCTCAAGAAATATATGAATATCTCAAAGACCATATACATCTCCGAGTACGATGGAAAAAGTTCAAATTCAAATATTACAGGGCATGATAAACAAAAATACAACTTACAACCACTCAACGAACTCACCCATCTCTCTCTCTCTCTCTCTCCATAAGACCCATCTCTTAATAAAACTGGCCATGGCCTCCGCACCTATAACCAACCTCTCAAAACCCACTACAAATTATTCAGGCCTTCTTCTCTTCTCCAAGAGTGTAACGCACAAACCTCCTAACACGTATATTCTCCCCAAGAGATGCAATTGTCTGTTTCACCAAATCCTTCACAAGAATACTGTCATCCTTAATGAATGGTTGCTCCAGCAAAGCAAGCTCTCCGAGCCTCTTTGAAACCCTCCCGTCAACTATTTTATCTCTGATATGCTCCGGCTTAGAGAGAAGATCCTCTCTTTCTCTCTCTATCTCTCTCTCCTTGTTCACTATCTCTTCAGCGACTTCTTCCACTGTCACATATTCAACTTGTGGGCATGCCGCTATTTGCATGGCTAAATCATCCACTAATTGTTGGAAAATGTCACCACGAGCTACAAAGTCGGTTTCACAGTTAACTTCAATGAGAGTACCAATTCGAGAGTCATGGATATACGAGGCTATTCGGCCTTCAGCTGCTATTCTAGCTGACTTTTTATCGGCACTTGATAAGCCCTTCTTTCTGAGGTATTCTTGGGCTTTCTCGAGGTTGCCTCCTGTTTCAGTGAGGGCTTTCTTGCAATCCATCATGCCAGCTCCTGTTTCTTCTCTCAGTTGCTTGACTAGTGAGGCCGATACAGCCACAGCTGGCCTGCAAAACCAAAAAGATACATATTTTTATAAGTGAAACCCAACATGCAAATGTAGTTTTCTCAGCCCATAGGTGGAAGTCCTTTTACTCTTTTTGAGTTAGGTCGTTTTTAATCTTTCTAATTTTTTTTGAAGCTTAAAATTGACTCTTCTTGGCGCAAAATTGTGTGTGTGTACACATGTGCATGTGCTTGCATGTGGAGTGCAGAGCATGCAAGGGAGAGGGAGAGTGTGTGTGTGTGTGAATGTGCGTTTGTGCGTGTGTGTGTGTGTGTGAGAGAGAGAGAGAGAGAGAGAGAGAGAGATGCTTACTTGGCTTCGACTACAGTTTCATCTTTTGGCACTGATGATGACTCAGGCTGCTCTTTTTGCAATGAAGGTGGTGATGATTTTGCTGCAGTTTGAGCAGCAACCTCTGCTGCAAAATCCTGCTTTTTCTTCTCCAAACCTTCTCCAAGATTGTACCTCACAAACCTCGTCACTTTTATGTTCTCCCCAACAGTTGCAATGGTTTGTTTCACCCAATCTTTTACCACAATCTTATCGTTCTTTATGTATGGCTGCTCAAGAAGAGCCAATTCCTCAAGCCTCTTCTTCATCCTTCCTTCCACAATTCTCTCTCTAACTTGTTCGGGTTTCGTCAATAGATCCTCCTTTTGCATTTCGATTTCTCTTTCTCTCTCTACAATTTCTTTTGGGACATCTTCAGTGACCAAGTATCGAACTTGAGGGGATGCCACAACTTGCATGGCTAAGTCCTCAACCAATTCCTTAAATATCTCTCCCCGAGAAACAAAGTCGGTTTCACAATTAACCTCTATCAGAACGCCAATTCGACTATCGTGTATATAAGAACCAATTCTTCCTTCTGCTGTTACTCTGCTTGCTTTCTTATCTGCACTTGCTAAGCCCTTCTTTCTAAGGAACTCTTGAGCTTTGGCAATGTCTCCTCCAGTCTCAGTGAGGGCTTTTTTGCAATCCATCATTCCGGCCCCAGTTTCTTCTCGAAGCTGCTTAACTAGAGCTGGAGATATGGTAGCTGCATTTTGATGGATCGAAACTAGATTAAATGAAGTTCTGATGGATAACTAGATTAAATGAAGTTCTGATGGATTTGGCGGCAAAGTAAATCCAAACCAACCCAAGATTGCCAGTTTTCAATAATCAATGTAGTGATTTACTATAGTAGCCCTGGTTGATTAATCAGTCTCTGTGCTTGATGGATTAGAACCAGATTAAATGTAGAAGTTAGATGCATGGAGATAGGTTAGCAATGAGATAGGTTAGCATTGGTTCTGCTAAATTAAAACCAACTACTACCAGTTTCACATTAGTGATTCTGCAAACTTGGACAACCAAAGATGCTAGTTCTTTTCAGGCCGGAATCAAGTCATTTTCCAACATAGCAGTTCCACAAAATAAGCACTAGTTCGACTAAAACTTACCAACCTAAATAAAACACTTATCAATGCACTGATTATGCTAAATTAGGTCTGGCTGGTTAACTAGTCCAATACCGTGTTTTATATGTATATCAGAAAGAATGGATCAATCCCTAACATGTTTTCAGAGCCAAAAATGAACCTTTTAGTCATGGTTTTGACATTTTCCAGCCATGGTTAATTGCCTTTCTTTAGCATAAATGGATCATTTGGTGTAGAGTAGAAATAACCAAACAATGCCTGGCATACTTGAGATTAAATATCACTAACTTCTATCATAGATAATCTTATCAAAGAACAAAGCAGGTAGTAAACTGAGAACCTTTGATTGTGCTTTCCTGAGGTGAAGGCGTATCCATTAATCCATTTGGGGTAGGGCCAGCATACTCTGCAGAAAACAAGGCAAGGCCATTATGTCTACAGTAAATTCACAGAACACCTGTGCATTGATCAACAAATGAAAGAAAATAAATAAATGCATAATTACAAACCTTTGGATGTTCCTTCCCAAGAAGGAATATCTATTGAGCCATTTGAGGTGGTTTCACCACTCTCAGCAGAAACTGAAGGCACAGCCTTCACATCTTCAGTAGCTTCTATTTCTGGAACATCAACTCCTGGTTTTGTTTCCTCTTGAATTTTCGTACTCTCTTCTGAGAACCCACCAACAAGCTCCTTGTCCTGAGTTTGATCACTATCTTCCTTTGTTTCACTTTTTGTTGCACTGTAACCAGTTACTGAACTAACAGGAGAATCAGATATGGAGGAGCTTTCAGAAAGCACTTCATCTTTCTTTATAACTTCAATATCTTCCGACTGATCAAGTACTAAATCCTGTGATATGACACCTGGGAATTCATCAGACACCTTATCCATAGATGGTTTTTGATCAGGAATCACCATTTCACTAGAGATTGCACCCCCTGTTGCATCCCCTGAGGTGGTAACTTCCTCCTTTTTCTCAGTAGAAACCACACTCTTAGGGACAGTAACTTCATCAGGATCATCTAAGACATTCTCTCCACTGGAAGTTGCTTCTTCTGCCTTTGGTTCTACTTCCTTCTCAATTTTGGTTTCTTCTGTTGCAGATGAAGAAGAATCTGTCATTGCCAAATCCCCTGCCAAAGTAGTGGCACCTGGGAGTATGCTAGACCCAATATCGGTGACTTCTTCAGGTTCGTGAGAGACAAAATCTCGCCCAAGAGTTGCTTCCACTGGCTCTGGTTCATCTTCCTTTGCTATGACAGTTCCACCTGTCACTGATGAAAAAGAATCTAAAACTTCTGATGATTCATTTGTCTCTATAGAAGCAGCAGTATCATCTTCTTGCACTTCATTATATGGAGGACTGTTCACCTGGTCTGTTTCAAACAACAAAGCTTCCACTTCAGACAATTGCAGTCCATAATTCAGTAAATTTTGGGTCTTTTTTACTGCTTGCACATATTAAAAATTCTTCTTCATATAATATTTTCCAAGGAATTGTTTTTTATTAAATTACATTTCACAAAAATCATAATTTGAGCAAGTATTTGGTGAAAATTTATTGATTCTCAAATCATGATCAAACAAAAATCCAAATCAGATATGTTAAACCACTATCACCAAACATTGAAATCATTGATTTGGGGTGAAAATTTTGAAATCAAAATGGGCTGGTTGACATTCCTTTTGAGCAAACCCTCAATGGAAATAACAAAAACTGCCAATATCCTTCTGAATAAAACAGCTTTGACAAAGACAGATTGGCCGTCTTACTCAAAATAATACAATAATATGATCTTACTTTTTTGTCAAAATTTAGCCAATTGGGGCATCCAGTGAGTGAGAGAGCGAAATCTAGTTCTGAAACCTAATCATGATTGAAGTACTGAATCTCTAATTCATGAATTACAAACAATTTTTTTTTTTTAATTGATAAGTAATTAAACCAACATTCACATTAGACTGATAATACTCACCATTTTCTTCTTCAGGTTGTGGGATCTCTTGGGCAGTTTTAATCTCAGAAGACTGTAGAGTTTCAAACTTGGCTTCAGTTGGACCACTCTTCGATTCTTCCACCAAACTCTGAGCTTTTTCTCTCTCTTCCAAAAATGCAGAAATGGCTTTGTTCTTACGAAAAGCCAACTCAAAGGGATTGGTAGCCCCATAAACCACCCCCTGGTTAAGCTTTAAGTTCGCTTCATCCATATTCTCCTCTTCTTTCTTCATTGTCAGAGTTACCTGGCCTCTTGTGATACGCAACACCCGGACCTTAACTTCTTGACCTATTTGCATCTCTGAGCTCCCCAAAACAGCAAACCATTCAGATTCCTCAGAGGTGGGAAGAAATCCTTCTTCACCCTCTGGCAGAGAAATAAAAGCTCCAGCTCTGTTTAAATTCTTAACAGTTCCATCCAAAACTTGCCCTGTCTGAAACTTTGAGGTCTTTTGAGCGTTCTCTCTCCTCTGATTAGACTTGGGGTTCCTTCTGGTTGGTCTTGGTTTGTCACTTGTAGAACTAGAAGAAGAATCCCTCATTTGCTGAGACTTGGTTGTGTCATCACTCTCTCTCATAGTAAGAGAAATCCTTCCAGTTTCCATGTTTGCTTCAACAATTCGAACTTTCACCTCCTGCCCAACTGCAACAAAGCCATTAACATCTTTTACATAGCTGTCACTAAGCCTAGAAACATGTACAAGCCCATCCGTGAAAGCCCCAAAATCAACAAAAGCCCCAAATGGCTGAATCGATCGCACTTTGCCAGTGAAAGTGGCTCCTGGGGTAAGTTCCTCAGTCTTTACAGGAGGCATCTCACTCTTCCTTACAGGTCTAGTGCGCTTAGTTTGGGCCTCAGGTCCAGGGGGTTCAACTGTAACAGAAGCTTCTGAACTGGAGGTCTCAGTCGAATCTTCACTTGTTGAAGCAGAGTTTGGCTCCTCCACCGCTACATCAGTGCTTGTGGTTGCCGAAATTTGAAGTCTTGAGCTCTGCTTTAGAGATATGCCCCTTCTTTCAATGTGGAATAGCTTACTTGAGATTGGCTTTGAGTTGAGGAATCTTTGTGAGAGGAGGGTGGCTCCTCTGTTTATTTGGGGAGAAGTAGACTTCCTTAAGTGGGCCTCTCTGCACAAGGGAAAAACAGCTCCAGGAAAGAGATAAATGCTTCCTATGGGACAAGGAACCACAGGTGCCATAATGTAACAATAATAAATTTCAGATGTCGTAGTGGTTTAAAGGATCAGGGCACAACTCATTCTTCGGTTACCCTGCAAACAGGAGGGATCAGTGAGCAATCCAACCTATACAAAGGAGAAAAATGAATTCTTATTTTCTCACACGGAGTAAAATCACTCCAATGCTAATCTGTGTAAGAAGGTAATCAGGTTCTAATTTGATATTGTAGTATCCAATCCAATTCTACACTCATTGAGAATATAAATATACCACCATAGAATCTCTATTGCAGAGATGGAATGTCCTGAAACTGTTTCTTGTGCCGCATCTTATTACTAAAGTTTGAGCCTAAACTCTACATCTTGTTCCTCATAGTATCCAAACTCTAAATATTGTTTTCTTACCTCAAACCCAACTCTAGGACCTCCATACTTTTTATCTTCTATAGCTCCTTCATTGTCTAAAAATTCCACTGTTTTGTTTAAAACCAAGTTACGAATCTACTACTGGCCTTCCCTTTTAAGAGTATCGACACCACATAGTACACCAGTAATGAAATATAAGAGATCATAGCTGGTGGGAATCAACAGTACCAGTACATATCACACACTCACAAGGGACAAAACGCTTCAGGTATGTCTTAGGCATACGATATTGATCAAGACGTCTATGCTCAAGATTACCAAAGCATATCTCCTGGATAGAAACACTGCAATTACCCAATCGATCTACATATAAAGTATTTTACTACATCAACAATTAAGTCTTACTTTTTGTTTAAACTGTCAGCAAGTGGTCATGTGAGTCAATTCGAACAACCCAAGTCTGTTGTCCAGTTTTAAACCAATGGGCGGAATAAATTATTAACAATGATACACTACATCAGTTCATTACTCAAATTAACAATATGTGATACTACTGAAATGTCTACACTGCATCCATGAACTTGACCTGATGTCCCTACTTCCTACCCATTGCACATTTACAACCATTTTATCGACATGGAATGGCACAAAATTCCAATTAAAACGTGGGCATAACTTAGTTTCTGAATCTATGAAATACTGAAAATGTAACATACTAACAATTAATTATATGAAGTAAATGATAACTAACAGCTCAACAAGTTTGGACTAACATACAAATAGTTTAACCCAGAAATGGTTAAAGGTCATTTCCTAGTAGGATACATTGTAGGCTACCACAATAGCCTAAGGAGGTCATCCAGACAAATATGTGATCATTTTTTATAACCATGGTCACAACCAACTCACCAACTCCCTGAGGCTACATATGAGACTCCAAGAAGAAGGAGCCCCTGGATGCCTACCTTCCTATGGTCGCCCCTAGAGCACTGGAATGCAGCGGAGCATAGATCAACCCAAAATGGATCCAGATCTCTAAAACACATGATCATTTCATGAACTTCTTTGTTTTTTTTTTGAAGAAGTTAACGGTTGTATTGAAGAAAGGAGGAATACATCAGACCTTCAAGGTGACCCACAGGTCCGGTCCCTCGACAAAAAATAGGTTACCCTACAGAAGGGCCCTGTACAAAAATTATATGGGGCTTAAGAATCTGCCCCTTACAAAATGTACAAAAAGGATAGAGCAGAGAGCCACAAGGGCATCAAAAGCCTGCAATAGTAGTGTGAAGCTCTCCATACTGTCAGGGGATCAAAAGTGCTCCCTCCTTGGCCAACTGGTCTGCATTGGAGTTAGACGTACGCCAAGTATGTTTCCAGGAGATGGTAAAGTCCCTGCAAATTTGTCTAACCTCATCAAAAATTGAGGCCAGGTACCATGGTGGGGCTGCATGACCAGCACCCCAAGAAATAACGTTAAGGGCATCTCCTTCTATCAAGAGGGAGTGGCCCCATGCGTGGTTGACAGTTTTAGCCCAGTGAGGAGGGCCAAGGATCCAGAGTATTGGGAGTCAGCGTGGCCTGTGCTCTCTGAAAAGGAAGCCAAGATATTGCCTAGGTAATTTCTAAAGTCCCCCCCAACTCCAGCAGGTCCAGGGTTGCCGAGAGAGCAACCGTCGAAGTTTAGTTTTATTGTGCCTTCCATCGAAGGGATCCAGTTTGAAGCATGAGAAGGACGAGGGGGCCGAAGCAGAATGAAGTCATTCCATCGAGGCAGGAAGGTCGCAGCCAAGACCCCGTGAAATTCCTTGCGGTGGGTAGCCCAGCAAATGACCTAGGAGATGATCTTGTGGAAGAGAGCTGAGTTGTCACACTTAGTGCCCCTGAAGATCCTAGAATTCCTCTCGGTCCAAATGCCCCAAATGGTTGCCGCCACTGAGGCCCACCATAAGGTTCTGCCTGCCTTGGGCCAGGGGATGTCCACAGAAAGTTTAAACAGATCTGGGATGGAGGCCGGGGTACCTGAGGTCAGGCCGAATAGGCAAAGAAGCCTGCCCCAAAGTTCAAGTGCAAATTTACAGTGGATGAAGAGGTGTGGGATGGAAACCTCCACGCAAAGGCACACTACACAGCGATTTGGGAGAGGAATACCTCTCCATTGGAGTTGGTCGACAGTTAGGGCCTTTTGGGAACCTGCAATCCAGTTAAAAGCTTGAATTTTTGGGGGTGCTATGGATGACCACACTTTAGAAGTCACTGAGGGTGGGGCATGAGGAAAGGTGGGAGGTTCCAACAGTTTCCTAGAGTAGGAAGTTACCGTGAAAGTTACAGAAGGAGAAGGGGTCCAGACAAGATTATCGGGGCCAGAAACAGCAAGGAAAGAGGAGTGCAAGAGGGACGATAGAGAGAGAAAGTCCTCCAGTTCAGTCTCAGTTAAAACTCGTCTCAAGGTTGGGTTCCAAAACCTTTTGTTGCCTGAGAGTATCATCTCTTCAGCAACCGAGGAGGCGGCGTTGGTGGCTAAGTTGAACAGAGTAGGGAACCGACCCCTTAAGGGTGAATGGCCAAACCATAGGTCTGACCAGAAAAGGACCATGTGACCTTCCCTAGTTCTAAAACCAGAGAGGGAGGTAAGAAAGGACTTCCAGGGCCCCCGAAGGTCTACTGGGTGCACCGGTCTCTGGGAGCCAGCGTTCGAAACGTATTCTGTACTTGCAGCGCACCACTTCTATCCACAGCAAATTATTTTGGGGTCGACAATCACCACCACCATTTACCAAGCAGGGCTGAGTTTTGTTTTCTTAGTAGGCGAATTCCAAGCCCACCAAGATGCTTCGGTTGGCAGACTTTATCCCATGCTATAAGGTGAAATTTCTTCGAGTCTGCTTCCCCAGACCACAGAAACTTCCTCATGAGCTCTTCCAGCCTACTAGCAACAGACACAGGCATATGGAAGAGGGACATATTGTACACCAGAGCGTTGGCCAGGGTGGCCTTAATATGAGTATTTCTACCCGCGAAGGAGAGGTATCTTCCTTTCCACCCTGCTAGGCGACGGTCGACTTTGTCTATGATGTGGGACCATTGCCTCTTTTTGGGTTTCCCTAACCCCAGTGGCATACCCAGGTAAGAGGTGGGCAGGTTGTCGACTTTACACTCCCATTCAAGGATCAGGGCTCTAGTTTCAGCTTGAGTAAGGGCCACCCCTATCATGGTTGATTTTTCCATGTTGACTCTAAACCCTGTGGCATATTCAAAGCATTTCAGGAAAATGCGAAGGTCCTCAATTTCGTTAGGGCCAGCATCTAATAAGACCAACGTATCGTCGGTGTACTGGAGGTAGGAGACCACAGGGCCTCGAGGATTACTTTTGAAACCAAAGAGAAGGCCCGCCTAATACATTCGAGAAGTGCATTGACTAAAGATCTCTGTTGAGATTGCCAAGAGGAAGGGGGGCATAGGGTGCCCTTGGCGAAGGCTCCTGGAGGATGGGAAGAAACCTTTAAGGACACCGTCGATGAGGACAGAAAAGAAGGGGTTGGAATAGCACCCCCTTATCCAGTTCCTCCAACGCACCCCAAAACCCATTCTTGCCATAGTTTCTTCCAGTAACGACCAGTCAACGTGGTTGTAGGCCTTTTCCTAGTCAATCTTGAAGATTAGACCAGGTTTTTTTGCCAAGTGCTTGGAATGTAGACATTCGTGCGCCACTAGGACACCGTCCAAAATCTGCCTCCCTTTGATAAAGGCACCCTGGGAACGGGAGATCACAAAAGGTGGTAAGACTTCATTGAGTATGGAAGCAAGCACTTTAGCAAGAATCTTATAGGTTGAGTTGATCAGACTTATCGGCCGAAAGTCCTTCAATTCTTCAGCACCTTCTTTTTTGGGGACAAGGGCGATGAAGGTGACATTCATCGCTTTATAAAGAATACCTCTATGGAAGAATTCATCAAAGAATTTTAGGAAGTTTGGTCGAAAAGTTTCCCAGAAGGTTAAGAAGGGGGCTACCGGGAAACCATCAGGGCCAGGGGCTTTATCTTTCTCGAGATCCTTGATCGAGACCAGGATTTCAGACTCAAGGAATGGTTGTTCCAGCCACCAGATCCAATTGTCGGGAATGGTAAGGAACTGGATGTCTCCCATCCTAGGTTTGGGAGTGAGGGACAACTTGTAGAAGTTCTGAAAATATGAGAGGATGGCCAATTTGATATCCTATGGTTGATCTAAGACCCTATTACCAACCTTGATGAAGGAAATGGAATTGTCCTGCAGTTGGCTAGCCTACGAAAAAAACCCGTGTTGTGGTCCCCAGACTGAGCCATTTGACCCTGGACCTCTGGTGCCAGTAGATCTCTTCTTTCTTAAGGGTAGAGAAGTAATCTAGTTTAAGTTGGGTACGCAGTTGTGATTCAGAAAGGGATAGGGGATGGGATTCTTCTGCTAAGTCGAGAGCCTGGATAACTTCTAGGTAGTTGTTCTTGATCTGAGAGAAGTTTCCTGGGAGGGTTTTACTCCAAGATTTGAGAGAGGCTTTTAAGAGTTGAACTTTGGTTTGAAGTCTGAATCCTTACCTCCCAGTGACAACTGCTGCAAAGGACGACCACTAAGCAGGAATGAGGCTATTAAAAGAGGTTTCTTCAAGCCAAGAGAGTTCGAAACGAAAGGGTCTAGGGCTAGAGGACACGGTTTGAGTGTCAAGGATGATCAGGCAGTGGTCTGAGGTGGGTTTCGGGAGGGTGGCGGCATGGGACCCGGGGAAGGCTCCATCCCATTTCAGCGAGAGAAGGAACCTATCAAGTTTTGATAAGGCAGGCAGGCTAGAGTGGTCAGACCAGGTACACAGGTTACCTTGGAGGGGAATGTCCAACACTTCATTACGAGCAATGAAGTCGGAGAAGTCCCTCATACCTTGAGAGATGTAGGAGTTCAAGTTTCTCTCGCGAGACCACCTAGTGATATTGAAGTCTCCCCCAAGGCACCATGATGGGTGGGGGAGAGAAGCAACGAGGTCCAGTTCTTGCCAAAGGTTGCATCTAAGGGCTGTGGCATTGGGGCCATATATAGCTGTGAACTTCTACGGAAAGCCATATGTAAATCTGGTTAAGAGGACCGTGACAGAAAATTCCCAACATGGGAACTGATGAGGGAGTGCTCGGATGGGTTCCAAATTACCCATATTCCCCCTGAAGCACCGGTTGTGGGTAGGGACACCCATTGACAGGGTCTACAGCCCCAAACCTAGCGGACTAACTGCAGGGAGGGATTGGGTTGTTTGGTTTCTGCTAGGGCCAAAATCGCAGGGCAGTGCCTCACGCTTAAGTCACGGGAGGCGTTAAATTTAAGCGTTTGGCCCAACCCCCTAACGTTCCAGGAAAGGATTTTGATTAAGCAACGTGGGGGTTTTGGGTGGAGGCCAATCTCTGGGATCTCCTGAGTGGTGGGGCCGAAGTTAAGGGTTCTGACGGAGCAGAGGCAGGAGGCTCCGGCTGGTTGTCACGGTCAAAGTTGTCAGCAGTGTTGAAGGTTAAGTGTGTTATTGTCACTCAGAAAGATCAACCATAACAGCACACAAAAATCCACCTTCGTGGAACAAAAAGGAATAAATTGATATAGCAATCAAGCCATGAAGTATTTCGGATTAACCACATGGGCAAATACTGAGCTTCATTCTATAGAAGATCAAATGAATATAATTCAGCATGTATAGATGCCCCTCAACACATTCATCAGATATCCCGGAATGGATGTAAACTTAAGAAAGCCAGAAACTAAGGATGACACTGAATTTGATTTCAGGGCCATAAAAATAGTGCATGAAACAGGAAACTTTGGTTCTGCTGAGAAAATAAGGAATAAGGGTTTGCTAGAAGACTCATGAAGTGTGTTCATGGATTTGAATAATTCACATAGACCAAAGAACATTGATCAGTCAACTTATAAATTTGGCTTTCATGGAACTAAATAGTTTGAATTCATGGAACCTAATAATTTGAATGATGGTTCCTCAAAAGAAAGAAAAACTCTAAAAAAGGCTTTATGGACCTAATAATTTGAATGATGGTTCCTCAAAAGAAAGAAAAACTCTAAAAAAGGCTTTATGGACATAAAGAAGTCATACAAACACAGGAATATGGGTTTGTCAAAGGATCCACAAGTTGGGTTCATAGAGTTGAAGAAGGAAAAGGAGTATGCGAAAATATCCACAAAATGGGTTCATGAACTTGAATAAATTGCACCAAGGAGCAAGGGTTTATTACTTGAAAGTCACTAGATGGGTTGACATAAATCCAAAGGAGAACATGTCCAAAATCATAGTATTCCAGTTATATACACCTAACTATGAATAAACTTAGTTTGAACATTAAGGTCACATTAATTTGCTTCTGTCATACAAGTCGTAGAACAATTCCACAATCATGTCTATGGTGAAGGCCACTTAAACGTTGAAAATTGTCCAAAATAAGGGAGTAAAACATTGTCCGTAAGTCATTTCCAACAAAACTCTCTCCACAAATGATCAAAACGATAAAATATAAGTACACCTAAGTAACATACTTGTTCAAAGATTTACCAAATTCTTTCCTCAAGTTTCAAGAACTAGCATATAGGCTAGCTCCTATCTCCTCTGATAAACCCACTTATCCATAACCCATTTCTAAATCAGATTACTTCTTCAGTACTTCTCTGAAGAAAATTTTTAACTTCATACGAGGACCAAGAAGAAAGGCAACCACGAATAATCAACAATTATACAAATATATCAGAGAGTTAAGGGCATCTATCTGTTATACACCGCAAGTCATTGAAAAATGGTAAACGAAGCTTCCCAATTTAGCACTTAATGCCACTAGCAGGTGGTCATCTCCTGATTAGAATTGGGAATCAAGTCAATGCACATAATCCATAGATATCGGTCAAAATTTCTGAAATTCTTTCAACACTACTCACAGAGTGCTCAATTTCATTAAATTTATCCCAAAAACAGCAGTACCCATCATCATGGAAGCATATTTTATCTAGAATTCCCAACACAAATAATAACCAAAAGTTTACAGTTCACTAAATGGTCATAAGCTCAAGCCATTGTTTTTGTGTGTGTGTGTGTGTGTGTGTGTGTGTGTGTGTGTGTGTGAGAGAGAGAGAGAGAGAGAGAGAGAGGAGGAGAGAGAGTACTACGTACGTACGTAAGTAAACGAAACTAACGTAACGTACGTACTACTAACCTAAACCCTAAACCGTTAAGTTAAGTTAACGTACTACTACTACCTAACCCTAACCTACGTTAGTAACG